GCTTGTTGGATGAATGAATGAATGAATGGATAGATAGATGAATGAAAAGATAGACGGATGAATGAATAAAAAATTATTCCACTCGCGAGATGAAAAAAATGTTTCTCTATTCGGTTAATTTATAGGTACAATTATTTATTCAAACTTATTCAATCAATTATATGTTCATTCACTCATTCATCAATTCATTCATTTATTCAATCAATCAATCATTCGTTCGTTCGTTCGTTCGTTCGTTCGTTCATTCAATTATTCGTTCTGTTCGTTCAATCGTTCCATCATTCGTTCATTACCTCATTTATCCCTGCGTGTGGTCCACTTTTATCCGTTTATTCAATTTTTCAATCATAATTGCCTCATTCATTTCATTGCTTATTCTTCACGCACACACACGCACGCACACACACACGCACGCACACAGATTGTTGTATGAATGACTTGAGGTCTGTCTGGCTGAATCTGTCTGAAGGTTTATAAACCGGCGGGTGAGCAAATGATGATGAGGATGTTATACTGATGATAATAAATGATAATGAAAAGGCCAATGCTGGAAGTGATAACAACCATCATAGTGATTATTGTTGGGATGATATAATGATAATATCATGATATTAATTATAATAAGAATAATAATAAGAAGAATAAAAAGAAGAATAAGAAGAAGAATAAGAAGAAGAATAAAAAGAATAACAAAAGCATTAGTGTTTACTTGATCGGCGTTTGATTGGATGATGGCTGGTTGACTTGTCACTCTTATAAGCAATAATTCTCCACTTGGGTCACTAAGTGCAAATAAAACATATATAATAATAACAACAACAACAATAATAATAAATATAATATTAATAAATATAATAATAAATATAATAATAATTTATTATTATAATAAAAATTATAATTATTATTATTATTGATGTTTTAGTTTTTGAATTTGTAGATAGGATAATAGTAAAGTTTTAAATGAATGAGCGAGCCAGGCGAAAGTTATGGAATTTGAGGAAAGGCTGTGGTTTGGTTTCGATAAAGATGCAGATAATGATGATGATGATTACGGTGATGGTGATGATGAAAATGGTGATGATGAAGATGATGATGATGAAAATGATGATGAAGATGACGAGGAAGAAGACGACGATGATGATGATGATGACCCAACGTGTGATCAGTAAATCTCAAGTGCGTTTACACAGATGTTCGAACTCATTAAAAAATCCAACGAAAGCATTTCATGTCCACTATTTAGTATCTTTGGCTTCATTATCGCTATCATCACCATTATCATCATTATTATCTTCTTCATCATTTCTTTTGTTATCGTCGCTGTTATCGTCATCATATAATTAATATTATCATTGTCGTGCTATCATCTTCATCATTTTAAATCATCCTAATAAAAATATTAATATTATTATTATTATCATCACTCTTGTTTTTCATTTACTACCACCATTATTATCAGCATTGCCATCATCATCATCAGCCTTGAAAATAAATAATTGGCAATCTTCAACGAGTCATTACTTTTAGCAAGATGATGAAGCGTTTATTATGATGATGATGATGGTGATGATGATGATGATGATGATGTACACAATTACACATACACACATACATAAACACACACACATACACAACATACATAAACAAACATACATATACACACACATACACATGTACACATATAAACAAACATACAGGCAGGTTCACACTTACAAATATCCGATACAAAAGATTGTACACGTGATACTCTGACGGCCAGATAGATATCTTAGTTTAGATACCTTAGATACCTCAGTATTTACTTTGACTTTCATCCTCTTCTCATCCTGATAGTGATGTTCAAATAATGATGATGTTCTAGATAGTAATGATGTAGATTTTTTATTAGGATGATTTAAAATGGTGAAGATGATAGCACGACAATGATCATGTTTTTTGGTGGGACGAGTTTGAAGCAGATCGTTCCCTTTAAGTTAAGTTTATTGACGATTATGATGCTAATAATAATTAAATTAATATGGCAAGTTGGATCTTTTTGCAATTGAATTGGTCACGGTATTGTAAGACCAAGTTCTCCAACTTAAATGTATATGTTTGTGATATGTATATATATATATATATATATATATATATGTGTGTGTGTGTGTGTGTGTGTGTGTGTGAGTGTGTTATGTATATATGTGTGTATGTGATAGGTATGTGTGTGTTAGTGTGTGTGATTTGTATGTATGTGTGTGTGTGTTTGTGTGTGTGTATGTGTGTGTGTGTACCTGTGTATGCGTGCACTCGCGTTGTTTTGTTGTTGCTTCGGGTTTATTTTTTCCTTGACTCCCGTTCAGACGGACGTGTTGTTTGCTCCCGAACTCAGAGTACTGCTCTAATTAGTTCAAGTGTGCCAATGAATATTAATTAAAAAATTTTTTATTCGGGATCGTTGATTAATAATTACATAAAAATACATAACGTAGAACTAGAATTGTTCACCTGCAAACTAGAATTTGCAGGTGAACTTTTCAGTTGATGCATTCTGTTAAGAAGGATAAGTTAAGATAGTTGATTGAAATTGCTAGCTGAAAAATTATCTCAAAATAACTCAGTTTGAATGGAGCCTCTCTGTGCGAAAACGGAAGTAAAATAGCATCATCGTTATGACATCATCGTGACGTCATCAGCATAACATCACATGTCATATTATCACGACGTCGAAGTTAGTTACATCATAATATTGCGTCATTCTATTTCATTATTTTTCGTTTGATGTCCTAGTTGTATTGTATGCGTTTGGTTGGTTTATGCTTAAGCTTACTGTAAGAGGCTACATTTGTATGCATGAGTGTGTGAATGTGTACGTGTGTATGTGTGTGTGTGCGTATGTGTATGTGTGTATATGTGTGTGTGCGTATGTATGCATGTATGCTTCTGAACATGTGTTAGTTTATGTGCTCGCCTAGATAGTGACCTGCTAAACTTTGAAGTCCAACAGGAGAAACCATAAAAGATACGGATAATAAAAACACCAATAATATTGATGACCATCCTTATTTCATATTGATTACCACTGCCTTTTCTAATTTATAACTCTACATATATATATTTATATACACCTGTATATGTGTATATATATATATCTATATGTGGGTGTACACACACACACACACACACACACACACACACATATATATATATGTATATATATATGTATATATATATATATATTGTATATATATATGTGTGTGTGTGCGTGCGTGCGTGTGTATGTGTATGTAAATTTATATATAAAATATATACGTATATAAAATTATCTATATACATATATGATCTATATAATATACATTATATATATATATATGTATATATATATATAATACATGTGTATATATGAATGGGATTGCCTTAAAATTATTTTTAAGTATTCGTATAAATAACATTTTATTAAAATTGAACGAGTTTATCACGCGTAGATTTTACGGAAATCATTTTAAAGTGTTATAAATTAAACGTGCGTTACAATAATTATATTGAATTAGATCGATAATACCTTTTTATTAGACGCTGTGAAGTTTGATAGCTAAATAAATTTATTTACTGACTGGAGTGTTTTGTCGGGAGTTTTTTTTATTTAAACAGATTCGCTGCTCTTTTCTTCAACTATGTTGGGTAAAAAATTGTAATTAAATTTCTGGATTGTGTCTAATTAACGCCAGCTACATCAACAACAACAACAACATCATCATCAACAACAACAACGACGACGACGACGACGACTACAAAACCTGCTACCTTAACAACATCAAAAAAACTGCAAGCAATCCAGAAGACAGCAACAGTTGTTTTACTGTCTCCATTCATGTATTAATTAAACTTCAGTTTTCATAAGAAAATAATTCAAAAATCAAAAACATTAGCAATATCAACACTAACACATCTTTATAACAACAACATTAACAACAACTAAAACTACAACAACAACAACTACAGCTACATCAACAAAATGGACAACATCAGCAGCAGCAACAACAACTATACCTCTTTAGACAACAACAGCAACAAAATCATTAATGGCTCCAGCAACAAAATTGACTACAGTAACAGAAACAGTAAAACAAACATCAACAGCAAAGACAACATCAACAACAACAACAACAATAACATCAACAGCAGCTGGTTGAAGGACAAGGTCGTCGTAGTAACAGGATCAACCAGTGGAATTGGATGGGCAACGTGCAAAATGCTCTACAAAAAAGGTTTTTTTTTTTTAAAGTGTCTTTGTTGACGTCATCATTGTTTATGACGTCATTGTTGTTGTTGTTGTTGTCATTGTTGTCGTTGTTTTGTTGTTGTAGTTGTTGTTGCGGGCGATGTCATTTTTGATAATACTGCTGTTGATCTAAGAACACAATGTTGAAAATTTTGATTGAGTTATGATTGCTTCAATCTGTAGTCTATAATAGAGCGTAAAAAGTCGAGTGTCGGGAGTTACTAAATGGCAAACTAATTACGTTTCGGAACTTGTGCTATATTACCAACAATTAAACAACTCAAATACAACACCGATGTTACGAAACTACAAAACAACTACACTGATCGTGATTGATAATTTTATCACATACGATGACGTCATTATCGTTATTATAACCGATTATTGTTCTTGTCATTATTATTATCATTCGTTATCAGTTGGTGTATCAGTCAAATTTGTAGTCAAATGTGCAGTAATCATATCACAGGCTATTATTTAATATATATAACTGATACATCTGTTACAAAATGTTACGAGGTCCATTTTTTAAATGAAATAACAATAATCGATCATCATATAATAATATTAATATTACGATAATAATAATAATAATAATGGTAAGAATGAGAATAGTTTTGATAATTAATCAATTAAATAGGCCATACTTTCTATAAAATTGAAATACATTCTAAGTAAAGGGTGAGCAGAGTTAATCGGCCGCCATCTTGTAACGTTTCCCTAATTTGATTTCAGGCTGCCACGTGATCATGGCCTGCCGCAACTTGGAGAAGGGAGAGAGACTGATGGAGAGTGAGGGGATGCTGGAGGGAGATAGGGAGGAGAGTGAGAGGAGGTGTCAGGTGATGCATTTGGATCTGGCTTCCATGAAGAGTGTCAGGAAGTTCGCGGAAGTTATCGCTAAGCGTTAGTTTGGATGATAATGTGTGTGGTGTGTGCTTATGTGTGTGTGTATGTATGTATATGTGTGTGTGTGTGTGCGCGCGCATGCGTTGCATAGACTTCTGAAAATTATTTTATGAGAGAATAATTGATAATAACAATAATAGTAAATATTCATGATGATGATGACGTCAAAAATGACGGTGATGATGATGATAAAAATAGAATAACAACAATAGGATTCATAAAAGGAGAAATGGCGAATATTAAAAAGAAGTTGTTAACTTAGTGCAATGTTTAATGACCGGTTCAAAGGAGTCGCTTGGAAATGATGGTATTGATGATGATGATGATGGTAGTAGTGATAATGGTGGTGGTGATGATGGTGGTGGTGATGATGGTGGTGGTGATGATGGTGGTGGTGATGATGGTGGTGGTGATGATGGTGGTGGTGATGATGATGCTAAAGATGATAATGATGATGATGAATAAGATAGAGATGACGATGGTGATGGTGACGTTGAATATGATGATGAAGGCGATGACGACAATTATAAATCACTGCCGGCACTCATTAATGAAAATTCTTTTAATCAATCAATCAATCAATCAATCAATCAATCAATCATTTTGGGGAAAGACCCATCGAAAATCGCCATTTCGTTTGGAAGCCAAAAGTTCAGAGTTCAAAAGTTAGCGAGACAAATTTAGACAAATACGATAACTACAAAAATCAATAATGGAATCTTATTTCACGCTGATAATTGTCGACTTAGAGACAGTTTTTCTGTCGACTTTAATTACGCCTGAGACAGTTTTTCGTATTCCATATCTGCCAGTCATTTCAGTCCACTGAAGAAGACATTTGTAGACAAAGTATACAAATGAATAACTTTGATGATGAATAACTACAATACAAAGATAACGGAATGGTTATAAATGTCATGTTTCAGGTTCGTACCATGTAGGAAGTCCATTTTAATGATAAACTGAAAGATTTTATTGAAAATGACACTGATTATTACGATGATGAGTAATAACAATAGCGATTGTATGATGGCGATGACATCGTACGCACATCTTGATAACAATAAAATGATGATAGTAATAAATATGGTAATGTAAAAACGTTGATGATGAGGAGGATGGCGTTGTGGCAGTTTTAATATTTTGGCATAACTTGACCCCACAACAACATTATCTTCGACATTTCTTTTAATAGTTTTATATAATTATTGCTAAAAAAACTAGAGTTTTTTTTATCATCAGTTGTTATCATCGTAGTTAACACATCATCTTGAATTTTCTCTTTCTCTCATTAATATTATTATCACCATCATCTTCATCACCGTCATCATCTCGCTTGGATTTATCCATCCATCCATCTATCTATCTACTTCATCTTAAAATTTATATCTTTGAACTTGAAAGCAATCAAATTGGATGCAATAACAAACGCGTTCGCGTGTCTGTATGTCTGTGTGTTTGTTTGTTTGTGTGTGTGTGTGTGTGTATGTATGTTTGTGTGTTTGTTTGTGTGTGTATGTCTGTGTGTTTCTTTCTGTGTTTGTATGAGTCTCTGTGTGTTTGTGTATGCGTGTGTTTAGTTGCGTTTATATAAATTCAGTATTAAGAATGCACATGATGATTTGAATCGACAAACTTCTTATAAAAACTTACTCAAAATTTGTCTGTTTTTGTATACATACAACGAATTTTTGTGTATCTACCTATACAAAATTTTTTTGTATATATGTATATACGCAAAATACCATCAACATAAATTATAAAAACATACTAGATCACGGGACGATCAACGTATTGATAAACAACGCCGGGGTTCTGACCGGTGTCAAGGCCGATACAGAAGACGGCCATGAAATTCATTTTGGCGTTAACTATTTAGGTTAGGTTTGTGAGGATGAATGAATGAATTATTGTATAAATAAATGAATTATTGTATGAATGAATGAATGAATGGATGGATGGATGGATGGATGAATGAATGAGCTAGTGGACGAGTGAATGATTGAATTTATGAGTGGATGAGCAAATAAATGAATGACAAGTGAATCATTATCAGCATCTTATCATAATCATCATTATCATCATTATCATAATTCTAGGACACTTCTACCTTACTTACCTTCTACTACCGACCCTGATGACGTCATTTCCGGCTCGGATCATCAACGTAGCTTCCCACGTAGAGAGCTTTCCGGTTGATTTCAATGAGCTGAACTGCAGAAAAAGTTATCTGAACGCGTACGGCAGGAGTAAGGCCTGCAACATCATGTTCACCGTTCACCTGGCTAAGTTACTCAAAAGTGAGAGAGTGTGATGGAGATGGTGAAAACGATGCTGTTGATGAGTAAGATGATGACAATGAGTTATCCAACTCACCATGGTGGGGATGGTTGCATGAAAATAGTGATGATTGCATATTAATGGTGATGATTGTGTACAAAAAAAAATTTATGTAGTGGTTGTTTGTGGTTGCGGTGTAAACAGCAACTCTGCAATGCAGGTTGCAGAGTTGCTGTTTCCAAAGTGACCAAGTTACCCTTTGAATGTCAAAACATCCAACTGGAAGACTTGTCTATTTATCCATTAAAAATAATTTCATTTAACAAATTTTTTAGCCACTCTGAGCGATTTTCATCCATCTTACTATATATATATATATATATGATGGATATAATGATGAATCAAAAAGAAGATGATTATTTGCTTCTGCATCTGCTTCTTACTAAACAATCATCAGCAACATTTGAGTGCATTCGACCCTTTCAGGAAGCTTTCAATTTTTATTCTCCCTTCTTATGTGCTGTCGGTGCATTGAATTGTAATAACAGAGGAAGGCGTTCTTTGATGGTAGAGCGATTATAAATTCAAGATTTTCAGTGCAGCGAACAAATGTGTTCCGTCGGAGAAATTATTTTGTTGTTCATCAAACAGATTCTGTACATTATTCAGAGAACATTTTCTAGAAATGGTGTGTATTGTTTTTTATCGGTTGAATAAATCTATTAAAAATACCGTTGTCGTGTTATTCTCCTCTTCCGTTTCTGTCACTTTATAAATTAAATGTTATTCTGGAGACCAGACAAACTATAATTGACGTCATCATCTACGTCATTCTCGTTGTTATCATAAACTTTCATTTTACCCGACAGACACCCACGTCAAAACGTGCAGTCTCCATCCTGGTTATGTGGCAACCAACTTAGCTGCTGACGTGCAAGGTTCGTTTTTGAAGCTATCTTCTGTCAACTGTTATTCCAAACAACATCATATCAACAATTAAAAGATACACAATGCAAGCCTACACATTCACCCTTCACGCACTCTATTGCAAACGCACTTACACACACCAAATACACTTTACATACACGCCACAATGTCCAACACACACACACACTCACACACACATGCACGCACAAACACACACATACACACAAACACACACACATACACACACACGCGCGCGCACAAACACACGCATACACACACATACACACACTACACACACATACACACACATACACACACACATACACACACACTACACACACATACACACACGCACATACCGACCTAACACAGACACCTGCCTGTTACGGAGCATCAAGTGTTACATGACGTGTACGTGCAAGAAGCTGGTGAAACCGGATGAAGGCGCCATGATGACGATGATGTGCTGCGAGATGGTAGATGAAGAGATGGAAAATGGAGGGTTTTATAGGTTGGTTGATTTGTTGGCTCTTGTTGTCTGTCGTTGAGAATTATTTTACCTTTGAAGGGCCGCATATGTACTTAAATAGCAAATTTTTTCTTCCATCTGGGGGAGAATTTTTTAAGTTATGTGGCTCCTTCTTTAAGATTTGTGGCTCCTTCTTTTGGTCATAATGTCTGGCTTACAATCTTTTTTTGGCGAACAAGGCCTCCGCGGGCCGTAGTTTGCCCACCTCACCCTTGGTTTAATGGTTTAACTGAGTTTAACTGATTGGTCGACTTTTTGGCATTTTCTCATCTTTTGTTGAGGCTGTTTTTATTTACGTAACCATTACACAGCTCTGATTATCTAGTCTATCAATTTTGTTCGTTAGCAAAGCCATTAGCTTTAAGAATTGAATGCAACTTTCAAGGCTTGTCAATTACTTTTTTTGTATTACTTACTTAGAGTAACTTAACAATTTATAAAATCTGAAACGTAATGAACCAAAATTTTCGTCCTTAGAGACAGCATGCTCTCAAAACCTCCGAAGCATTGTAGGGATGCGATGAGATGCGAAAAGTTATGGAAAGGGAGTTGCGAGATGTGCCACCTGCCAGAGGACTTGCGTTTGCATCTCCTTCAAAAGTGACGGCACCTGCAGCTGTTGCAGCTGTGACGATAGAAGCCTGAACTATTACAAGGAATTCCATATTACCTAAATCTGAAATCTCAACCTAATTTTTTTATTAAAACTAATTTTATTGTTAAAATAATTTGTTAAATCTAATTTCATTGTTATGTATTTATGTTCTTGTCATGAATTCGTTTATATTTGATAATCATATATAAATCGCTTTTTTTTATTTTATAAATATTTTGGCAAGGCAGTATCTGAAATATTCCCCGAGTTTATTTATGATGCATTATACTGCAATGCATCTTTATAAATTGTTAAACCAAATATCTTATAAATGTATTTTTGTGACTATGCTAACCATTTTTTGTGACCAGTTTGTTTGAAAATGTTTCAACTTGTCAAATCAGATTGTCTGCTTTGAATTTATATTTTTTAACATTGCGTTAACAGGCCTAGGCTGTATTAATTAATTACCTTAGCCTGATATGGTATTTTTATTATTATTCCTGTTAAGAACTAATTGTAAAATACGTTAAGCAACTCAAATGTAAAAATATTTTTTATAAAAATTCGTCAAAAATGGAAGAGCTATTCATCCATCCTATTAGTCTGACATGCAATTTAGGCTGTTCTAAATAATTGTAAATAACCAAATAAATCGCTTACTACATATCAGTCACGATTAATTTCATCAATTTTGTCCCTTCCAATCACCTCAACTTTTATGAAAAACTTTAATTTTATCAAATTTCAGTTTGTCACCTCTCTTCATTCTCAGGCCAGTTTTTACTCATTTTTTGTTGCGAATTAAATTTTTTTAGTTTGAACAGTCAGCTGTAGATATAATGTTGTCTTACCTAAAAAGTGTAATTTTTTTATAAGAGTAGCTTCATAAAAACTAATTGAAAGTCAATTGAAGGCTTCGTGTGCATTGATTTGGTTCACTCATTTGCTTCAGACAACTCCATCTAGCCCAAAGCCATCCATTCGACTCACATTTTATGTTTTTGTTCAGTTATGCAAATTTTCATCCAGCAATAACGATGAATTTTAACAGCTTATGATTTTATTTTCATATTTTTTACCACTTTTTTATTTTGACAACTTGTAGAACATGTTATTATTCATTTTTGCTGTCCAAATAGTTTTTGTTAACGGTTCGAAAGTGTTGCAAAATGCAGCAAAATTTACAACCTGACACCAAAGAACAGTTCCTTCACTGTTGTCTCTCCAACAGACAATCAATTTTTAGAAAGTGATCTTCATTAATTTTTTGAAATGTCGATGTTAGCAGTTGTTTTTTCATTTAACATCACAAAATAGAAAGAAATTTGTCATTTTCAAGACGTCATTTCGTCATTTCCAGCAACTTTGACATATTTTCTGGAAATATTTTCCATCCTGTGTTGTCCCATTCAATATATCGCATTAATTTATACAATACATGAAGTTAAATTACAAGAGGAACAAGTTGAAACACACAAATAATGAAATTAAAAGCCATCTTCATAAAAAAAATTTAAGTTTTTACAGTCTCAGATCGCTTATATTGATTCCTTCTAGATCGCCCTGGGTTCACATGTGTAATGCATAGATTTTTAAAGTTATTTAAATTATGATTCTTGGAATTAAATGAGCGATAAAGCAGTTTATTTAGAAAGAATTTCGTTTTTAGCGATTTGTGTTTTAAATCGTAGTTTGCAGATGTTTGCTGTTAGTGACAGGAAATAATTTAATTTGCTGTTTGTAGAGTGTTTGTTTTTGTTATGTGTTAGGATTGACTCATTTTGTTTAGTTTTAGTTTTAGTGTACTTTTTTAAATTTTCATTTCACTTAAAATTAAATTATTAAAATTAAAGTCTTAAAGTTTAAACTTTTTTAAAAGAAAAATCAGAAAATTTCATCCATAATGTCATCCACCAATTAATTATTCTATTTAATTATTTAATAAACACATAAAATTGTCGATTGAAAATAAAAAAAATTTTGAAAGTTTAGATTTTTAGACTTAGAGAATAAAAAACGAAACAAATGTGTAAAACATAAAACTAAATAAGTAAATATCATCACCATCATCATAAATTATTAAATTAAACTTGTTTGAACTTCAAAGTTTAATTTATATTATTTTGTTTATTTTATTCTAAAAAAAATTCTATCTCAAATTCTAAACATTGCTTAGTTAGTTAGATTGTCATTAAAAATTTTCAGTTCAAAGTTAGTAAACTGCAAAAATAAAAAGAAGTATGACTGACATAAAGAGCAACCAACAACAACAGCAAAACGAGCACATCTCTCATCAGAAGCCCCAGCAGAAGGAATGGCCCACGAACAGTCGTCTGTATCAGCTGAGAAACGAGAGGGTCCGATCGATTTCTACATCCTACGACGAACCGGATGTTGTGGTGGACATGGATGTGAACAACTACAGCAACAACTGCAATAACACTGACCACAAACGACCATCTCCTAATATTCATCTCAGGTTTTTGATATATCTGATTAGTGCATTATGTGGCCAATGTGATATTAGGCATTTTGATGAAGTAATTTATCTTTTTAGTCAATTAATTACTTAATTAATTAATTAATTAGTTATGATTAACTAATAATAAATTCTAAATGAAATTTGATTGTGATAATAAATGGTCAGCTGTTTGATATTCTGCTCCAATGAAATCATTCATTGAATATTTTTATAATTTATTTATTTATTGCTTTGTTTACTCATCTAAATGGATCACCTTGTTTAAAGACTGATGTGCACTATGTATGTATATATATACATATATAATTGTGTGTGTGTCTGTGTGCATGTGTATACATTATATGTATATACATGTATGTATATACATGTATGTATGTGTATACTTGTAGTTAAATATTTGTACATGTATATTTTTGTGTGCTTGATGTCTGGTTGTATGATTAATTAGACATTGTTTTGTGTAAATGAATGAATGAATGAATAAATGAATAAATGAATGAATGATTAAAGGGTATAAATGAATAAATGAATGTTTTTCAGATTAATTAAAAAAATTTTTCTAATTTTTGTTGCTGATTATTTTTTATGTTGTTTCAATGTTGATGTTTTTATTACTACTGTTATGTTCATTTCTTTCATTCATATTATTTTTATGAGTTTTGTTATTGGCACCATTTGGCACCATTTCTGTGTGTATTTCTTTTCATCTTCCAGTTGAGTTTTTTTTTACTTTCTGTTTATCATTTTTATTTTCCTTTCATTCCTATGTTACAGACCAACTCCAGCTAAATATAACTCAGGTTGAAAGGTTAACTGGCAGTGAATAAAAGACGTATGTATATACACACGTGTGTGTGTGCGTGTGCGTGTGGTGTGTGTGTGTGTGTGTGCGTGCGTGTGTGTCTACCAACAACAAAATATAAACACTGTTTGAACACCACCACTACCATCTTTTAAATAGCTAGCAATGGCCATCAATATCACTTTCTGTTAATGTTAATTGCTTCAAATGTTTGCAAAATTGCTTTTAAAGAGGTTCAGAGTGTATACAACCACACTCACTCACTCACATGCATACACACGCACATACATACATACATACACATACATACACAATTGGTTGATTGTTTTATTATTTAATTGTTAATAATTTGAGATTTGTTAATTTATCAGGCAGCAAATGAGAAAAAAAGTTTAGTTTTATTAAAAATTTGTGTACCATTCATCTGAGTGATGAATTAACTTGAATGATGATGATGAAGATGATAACGAAAATGATGATGATGATGATGAGGTTGATTATAGTCTACAAAGTTTGATTCAAAGGTTAGCACAAATTTATTTATATAAACTCATACAATACACTGCCTAGATATAGATATATATATTTATATGTTTATATGTGTATTCATATCTGTTACTATGTCTGTATGTACTAATGGGTTTCTGTTTCATTTTACATAAACCTTTTTTTTAAACTTTTACAATTTATAGCACGTTCAAAACTCTTAAGTCATCACATATTATGATAAATATTCTTCAACAATGTATTTAAACAAATGTTCAACATTTGTCAAATAAATTTTCATTTAAAGGTTCCAAAAAGGTTGCACACCAATGAGCCAGATGCTAGCGAGCAGAATTCCTAACTCACTTAGTCTCCATGAAGGTGGGTCTGCCTGTAGGTTCAACATCTATCTAATTTCATTCAGTACATTTCATGGTGGCTAATTAATTTGTTAATTATTTTCCTAATCAATTTTGTTACTTTAAAGTATTTTTTTTATAAACATTTTATTGTGAAAGGATTTTTCTATATGAAGTTCTCAAAATATCATACATTGAACCACGCTTGCATGTGGTTAATCTTCACTCACAGCTACACACTGCCACATTAATCAGTTGTTACTGCACCACATCATGCCATTTATTTCTTGCAATAATGAATAATTACCTACCAAACCAACTAAATTAACCCCCTTTAATAAGTTGTTTCATTCTTTGCAATGTTATATTGTCCATGCCTTGAAATTTATAACAGTCATATTCATTTAGAGAATCATTTTATACATTTTTACATTATGACACACACATACGTGCATACTCTGTGTGTGTATGTGTGTGTGTGTGTGTTTGAGAGAGAGAGTGAGAGAGAGAGAGAGAGAGAGAGAAAGAGAGAGAGAAAGATACACACACACGCGCCGCAAATACATACAATCCCATGGGACAATATACAAGCATATGTGCACACATAGACACACACTTCATGACATAATGTTATGCATGAACATCTGCAGTAATCACAAAAACTAATGCAAATACGAATATACATACATACACACACCCACAAAGCCAGACAAACAAAGTTCCTTCCAAAACATCTTTGTTACTAATAACTTTTTTAACATTGCTTTACATACTAATATATTAATACATCCATATATGCACAAATACACAGGTTCGTATACATGAACATATAGAGATACACACAAACTTATATTTTACTTTCTTTCTTTCTTTCTCTCTCTCTCTCTCTCTCTCTCTCTCTCTCTCTCTCTCTCTCTCTCTCTCTTTCTCTCTCATTTGCTCTCTTTCTCTTTCTTAACAAAACAAACCTCCATTGTATATTTACACAACTTAAAATCTGGTTATATATTATTAATCTAATATTTATAAATGCAGATTCAACAACAACAATATTGATAACTGAAGTACTACTAATATTAGTGGTAGTAGTAGTGGTAGTATTAGTAGTATTAATGATGACAATAAATGTATAGATAATAATAATTATAATGATGATGATGATGATGATAACAGCCACACACATATGACATAGCCAGATGATGATAGTACACTAATTTATATTACATTTAATAATAATTAACACATATAAGTTTACCACAATATCCACACCTAAATAAATAATTCATTGGTGCACACACAGGCATACACACACACACACACACACACACACATATATATATATATATATATATATATATATATATATATATATATTTACGTGATGGTCATATGAAACTTGTAATATTTGAAAATTTATACCGGAATTTGCTTCAAGAAAGGATTGTTAATGAAGTATGTTTTGTTTGCTGATATGTTCACTCATCTTGTTGTCATTCTATTTTACCGGAAGGTGAAACATATTCATTGGTTATGGGTTGATACGTATCTATGGTTTCATTCATTCATTTTTAATTTCTATCTGTCATTCCATCCCTTTATTTATTCATCTTTTCATCCATTCTTTCGTTGCTAATCTGCAGTAACATAACAGGACGACAACATGAAAACAACAACAAAAACATATTTAAATAACCAACAACATCAACTCAACATTGCTTTAAACTATTATATACGATGACTTACTGTCTTATATGTACACAGATAGCTATGTGTAAAACGCTCAATGTTAATATCATTTTGAGCTTGTAAAATATGTTTTTATATTGGCTATTCAAGAGAATATGCATAAATATATATATATATATATATATATATATATATATATATATATATATATATATATATATATATATATTATTTGCTATGTGTAAACTTATTACTGACATGATTCAATTAGTCATTGCTGATATTCTATTGAAACAACATCAATATCATTATTGCAGCCAGTAACACCAAGAATAATTATTACAATGAATAATATTGTCATCAATAAAAGTTATTGCTATTTTTATTATTTTACTACTACTACTACAACTACTTATACTGCTACTCGTCTACTAATACTACTGCTACCACAACTACTGCTACCACCACTACTACTAGTACTACTACTGCCGCTGCTGCTACTACTCATCCACTACTACTACTGCCACGGTTGCCGCTACTACTTCTACTACTACTACTATTTCTACTTCTACTGCTGCTTTAGTGTTAGTATGTTTTTCATTTATTTTAGCTTTTTTCTTCTATTAGTAGTTGCCATTGCCATCATAGCCATTATCATCATCAGCGCTTTTTCATGCTTACCTATTCAGTCTCTGTTTTAATATTAATAGAAACTTATCTTTACTTGTGATTGTAATTGAAGTGAAGTACTGTTGTTTATGTGTATGTATGCTTGTTTGTGTGTTTGTATGTATGTCTGTTTGTGTGTGTGTGTATGTGTGTGTGTGTGTGTGTGTGTGTGTGTGTTCGTACCTAAAAGTTTATCAGTTAAATTGTATTGTAGTATTGTATGCGTACACTCCATTGAACTTTTTAAATAGCTAAGTCACCTTTTTCAAGTTTTTTTTTTCATGTAGCTCAACCAAAGAACTCTTCTAAATAATTATAAAATAAATAAAGTTTTTGAATTAGTTTCTCCATACATTACCTATGTGTTGTGAAGTTTTCATGATTCACTTTTCTATATGTTTGTGCGTGTGTGTGTGCGTGTATGTGTGCGCGCGCGTATGTGCGTGTACGATTTCGGGGTTATCTATGAATTTCTGTGAAAAACTGTGAAAATCTATGAAAAACTGAATGTCTATGTTTAACTAGTATATATTAATTTTTATCTGGTCAACTGATATATAATTAAATGAGTGAATGATGCATTAAGACATTGCAGCTGCATTGTGGCAATTAAATACACTAATGTGTATTTAATTGCTGTTTATTAATTATTATACCTCTATTAACTATTGTTGCTGCTACTTATTATTATTATTAATACTACTATCATCATTATAGTCGGTTTTTTTTAATAATGTTCTCTTCTTAACCCATCTCATGGGATTGCAATAACGTTCTTTTGATCACATGTTCATCACACCACACTACACCACACCACAGATGAGATCAAATCAACAACGAGTAACAAAATAGGCCCGGAGGAATTCGTTGAGATGATGCGGCGTCGTAAGACCCCTCTCTACCTCAACCACCTCTTCTACCAACAACAACAGCTGCAACAGCTGATGAAAGGACGCAGAAGAACAGTCTCAGAGAACCAGGCCTCACTCATGCTCAAATTCCCGCAGACCTTACGGCAGAAGTACGCCGACCAGTCGCAAATTCCAAATGTCGTCGTCCTCGATAGACAGCCTGTCGTCAGGCAGAAGAGTGCTGCATCAGATCATGCTAGTCCTCCTTCTGACGGGTTGCTTGTTGGACTCGCAGCTGCTGGAGCGCTTGTCGGGCCGGCGGGTGAAATGACAGGAGCTGTTGGATCTGGGGGTGGGGGAATTTTAACGGCTGATGGCTCTGGTGGTGGCATTTCTGGCTCTGGTGGTGGCATTTCAGGAGTAGCTAGTGGTGTTAATAATAGGAAATTATTACACCAAAATGTGTCTGGCGGTAGATTGCTTGCTGCAAAGCACTCCTCTATTGGACACGATCCAATGAGTAACTTTCCAAAGGTTGGTTGGTTAGCTGGTTTGTTAGTTGGCTGGTTGGTAGGTTGGCTGGTTGGTAGGTCGGTTGGTAGGTTGGTAGGTCGGTTGGTAGACATATTTTAAATATTCAAGTTAAACATTAATATCAATAGTTGTATAGCTTGAAGGATAAAAACTCAATTAACAACCACCACATTATTATTAAAAGGACAAACCAGATAAAGAATTTTTATGATAGTAATTATGATGATGATAGTGATAGGATGACGTGTTCGTTGATGATGATAAGTATGATGATGTCGAATTGTAACAATGATGATGATGATGATGATGATGATGATGACGACTATGATGACTATAATGCATTTTTTCCAGATGCAAGTTGGCTCTCCTATTTCGCCATTAAGTGAGTGAGACGTGATGATGATGATGATGATCGTGATGGCGATGATGATGATGATGATGATGATGAAATAATGATACAACTACGACGATGATGAATGATGATTATCGTGAACCTCTGTTCTAGATGTTAATGATAGTGATGTTGGCGTTATCAATAACTAACATTACAAATACGATAACGACGATAATGATGGTATTGATGGTGATAACGATGATGATAGTTTCGGTAATGATGATAATGATTATAACAATTTTCTGATGATGATGACGATGACCAGATGAATTTTCTCTATACGGGCGTTCCCCATCTGAGCATATGGTCATTTGGAAGGAAGCCAACAAGAGAGATAAAATAATTAAGGTCAGTTAGTTGGCTGTCTGTGGTTAATTGATTGATTGGTCAGCTGGCTGGTTGATCGATTGATTGGTTAGTTCGTTGGTTGATTGATTGATTGGTCAGTTAGTTGATTGATTGATTAGTCATTTGGTTGGTTCATTAATTGGTCAGTTAATAAATGTAGTTGGCTAGTGGTATGAGGGTTTGGTTGTTTGATTGATTTGGTTGGTTGGTTGGTTGATTGTTTTGATTGCAATGTTAGTTGGATTACAATGTCGTTTGATGGTCGATTAATAAAAAGATGATTGATTAAAAGTTAGCTGATTGAAAGTTGGGTTGGCTGGTTGTTGAAAGTTATTGAAGTTCTCGATTGTTTTTTTTAAACACGTGCATTGAAGATTTCAGCCAATGACGACGATAGCATTGAAGAAGAAATAACCAGTCAGTCGTTCCTCAATTAATCATTTGATTCACAAATCAATCATTCAGACATCCTATCAATCAGTCAATCTATCAATCATTCACCAACTATTAACTAATAAATCAATCGATTAATCAATCTATTAACTAACCAATCAATCAATCAACTAACTAATCAATCATTCAATCGAATTAACCAACTACTCAACCAGCCTGCTGCCTGGAGACGTTAATTGAGAACATAATTCGAAGACACACCGTCTACGACGCCATGCCTAACCATGCCAGGGTCATCATACTTGACCTCAACCTCAAGGTCATTTGAAGATGTGATGATGATGATGATGATGATGATGATGGTAAGTGCGTTGATATTTAAGATGCCAGTTAGCCATTTGTTTTGGCCAATTGTTACAATATTAATAGAGGAGCTGAAGGCTATTTAATATCATCATCATCATCGAAATCATCATCATTTCGCCATTACATCATTATCAACATCATCGTTATTATTATTGTTGTTATTATTGTTGTTATTGTTGTTGTTGTTGTTGATAGGTTGGTTCAGCATTTGATGCACTTGCCTACGATGGAATCCACGCTGCCCCTCTCTGGGACAATGACTCCAAGGAATTTGTTGGTCAGTTTGTGATGATGGTGATAGTGATGGTGATGATAGTGACGATCAAACTGATGATAATGATGATCAAAGTGATGATAATGATGATCAAAGTGGTGATAATGATGATGTTTATCATGATGGTGATGATGAGGGTAATGACGATAAAAAGGGGGATGATAATTGTGATCAAAATGATGATGATGATGATGATGATGATCGAAATCAAAACGACGATAATGATCATGTTGTTTATCATGATATTGATGGTAATGATGATCCTTTTGAACACGGCAGGAATGATTACTGTGACTGATTTCATAAGCATTCTACAGCAGTTCCTACATCAACCTGTAAGACGTTCATTGCTCTGATGTAATATCATGATTGTTGTTGTCTGTGATTGTTGTTGTTGTTGTTATGGCTGCTGTTTTGTTGTTGTTTGTGATTGTTGTTGTTGTTTTGGCTGCTATTGTATCTGCGATACTTTTTTGGTTATCGTTGGGCAAAATGAGAGTTCTTCTCCTTTGTAGTTGCCTTTAAAAAGTACAAAACTGTCGGCGATACTTTTAAAAACGAGTATCGGTTCTTATTATTGTTGTGATTGTTTTATTATGTTAATGTAACGGAATGTAATTAGATTTGAATGTTAATGTAACTGAGTTGCACATTGTTGTTTTCTGATTTGAAGGAAGTCCTGGCGTCCATACGAGATGATAAGGTGTGCAAATGGAGGGACCATCTGTTGAGCCAACATCAACAAAAACATCAGTTACATCAGCGGCTGCATCAACAATTGAATCTTCAGCAACAACAACTGCAACAACAACAGCAACAACTGCAACAGCAACATCAACAGAACCTAAATAATCAGCGACATCATCACCATCACCAACACCATCATCTCCATCAACAATCTAACTCAATAACAACAACACTGCAACCGTCATCCTTATCTCCTCCTTCAACAACATTTTCTAACAACAACATTAACAATTACAACAACCACAATAGCAATTTTCATGCCGACAACAATAGTGATAATAACACTAACAGCGGTAGTAACAATAATGACATTAACAACTTCATTAACACCACCGACAACAGCAACTACAACATCGCCGACGACAACAGCATCAGCAGTAGTAGCAGCAGCAACTGCATGTTGACGATAAAAGCAGATAGCAACCTGGACGATTTGATAACGCACTTAGATTACTACCACATTCACAGGGTTGTTGCTGTCGATGCCTCCACAAAGAATGCATTGTACATAGCCACATATAGGAGAATATTGCATTATATTTGGAGTAAGGTTGGTCGGTTGATTGATTGATTGATTGACTGACTGACTGACTGACTGACTGATTGATTGATTGATTGATTGATTGATTGATTGATTGATTGATTGATTGATTGATTGATTGATTGATTGATTGATTGATTGATTGATTGATTGATTGATTGATTGATTGATTGATTGGCTGATTGGTTGGCTGGTGGGTGGGCTGGTTGGCTGACTGACTAGATAATTGACTAATCGATTGACTGGTTTGGTACCGACTGATTGATTGATTGAATGAATGAATAATTGATTTTAAATTTACTTCCTTCCTTTGTGACCCCATAACCTCAAGCTGCCCCCACTGAACCACAGGGGTGTGACCACGAACGTCTTCAATAGAACGCTTCAGCAAGTTAACCTCGGTTCATACATGGACCTCGTTTCCGTTAGGGCTTTTCAATGCTTATTATTATTATTATTATTATGATTATTATTATTATTATTATTATTATTATTATTATTATTATTATTATTACTGCTGTTGCTGTTATCTGTATTATCATTTGTGATATGGTATCATTCAAATGGTACTGGTTAAATTTTGTCATGCAGTTATTGTTAATCAGTAGTGTTTCTGTTATGATACATCTAACCGTTCTAGGCATGTCAACTGCTTTTGACATTATCTTAGTGAAGGTGATCGAAGTATTAATAATAATAATAATAATAGTTATATTTTGACAATAATTTTATAAGCAGTAAGTTAAAAAAAATAGTTAACAAACAATGGTTTGATCTGCTGGAGGGATAGCCAAGATAGTATAAGCGCCACATCTTGAGAATTTATAGCGCATTTACCTGCGCGTACATATAACGAGTTTCCATGCTTGTACGTTGTATGATGGGGTGTGGTGTGTCTATTTTACAGAATTTTTGGTATTAAAAGTTCACAAGAACTACGTTAGGAAAACACTTAAACTGCTACGTTCCTGAAAGAGTACATTAATTTTAGAAATTTATAATATAATATAAAACAATTGTGAAATTATGATTAGGTATCGCTATCAACACCGGTGCACGAGATATTCAGCATCTTGATGTCACGTCGTCTCTCAGCAGTGCCCGTAGTTGATGACTGCTACAGAGTTGTTGATGTCTTCAGGAAGGCTGATGTCATGGTTAGTGGTGTTGCTGCTGGTGGGGCTGTCCCGACGTTCTTGATGTTTTTAATGTTCTTTGTTGTTATTGGTCATGCTGGCATGAAATCGTTCTAGTTAGTTTATCTCTCTTTTAATGCAGTCCCTTATATCATCATCTTCTTCATTATCCTCATCATCTACGCTATCCTCATCATCTACGCTATCCTCATCTTCATCCTCATCTGATAACAGAGTCTAATAATTGATGGAAGCTTTCACGATCTCTATTGCCCAGTCGAAGATGTCTTACTCTACGAAAGAAATGTATGTTTATGTATGTACGGTTTGCATGTTTATATGGGTACAGGTCTGTACGTTTGTTTGTATGTGCGTATACACGCTTGTATGTGTATGTATGTAATAACTATTTCTTATCATCATAAAAATGACAACAACTTATCTATCATTGTATTAGGGTTTTGAGGGTTTGTACAAATGCAAGAAGACTGACGTGGTGTACAACGTTATACATTCGTTTGTACATCTCGAGGTACGAAATTTGTTTCATTGTCGTCATCTTCCTTTATCATCTTTTTCCATCATCTTCGTCATCATCACTATCATCATCATCTTCACTATCATAAATATCATCATCGTCGTCGTCATCATCATTATCATAAATATCATCATCATCGTCGTCATCATCACTATCATAAATATCATCATCATCATCGTCATCGTCGTCTTCACCACCATCACCACCAGCTGCATCGACTGGTGGTCGTGGATGATGAGGATAGATTGGAAGGCGTCATCACCACGTCAGACATCATCAAGTTCTTCCTGGATGGTGATCATACCTCCATGGTCAGTTCATCATCATCGTCGTAATCATCATCATTATCATTATTATTAGTAGCAGTATTGTTGATGCTCTTTTTGATACGAAGATGATGAGCGTGACTGACTACTTGTGAGATGCTCATATTCATTTCATTTCATTACAGTCGGACGAGGATTAACTAACCCCGCAGCAACAAACAACAAAGGCATCAAGGACAGTCAAATTCAGAGTGGATAGTGGAAAATGATTCTCATCACCTTAATCGTCGTCGTCGTCATCACCATCATCATCATCGTCATCTTCTGCATCATTATTCTCATAACCAGCCAGCCAGCAACAACATCTTTTCCATCTCTACTATTATCTTTTTTTTATAATTTCTCATCATATCTTTGCCGTAGCATCATCTATCATTTATATATCAACTCTTTCAATGTATATCATCTTGTATCATCATCTACTCTTGCTATCATCATCGTCATCATCATCTGTTATCTATATATAATCTGTTTTGATGGGTATCATCTTTTCTCATCATCATTTATTCGCCTCATCATCATCATTATAGTTTGAAATATCATAAAATCATTTTAATTATGTCCACAATGTTGTTTTTCATCTTGAACTCAATCACTCACTCACTCACTCACTACCAGCAAGTTACCAGCGGTTTCGATAACACGTCTGTGGTTGTTCCCAGGGTCGAGAATTTTACCAAATGGCATCAACATCGAATATACGGTAACGGAAATAAGACCGAAATGACATTAGTTACATCAACAATGGAAATAAGACTGAAATGACATCAGTTACATCAACCGAACAACGACACGACGTTAATAACTTTAGTAACATCGATCCACAACAAATCCAAACATCAACAGTATCAACGTATATAAACGTTATCTCTATATTTTGCGATAACTTTGAACGTATAACAAGGCTTACTGCTTTAATTAACAAACAAATAAACAGTAATATATTATTACTCACTTATATATATATATATATATATATATATATAAATACTACTTATATTATATATAATGTATATTATACTACTGATAATACCACTAACGCCCGATTACTACTGAATTACTTGTACTAATTAATTATACTTATAAATGTATGTGCTTACTACTAATCTAATTGCTGCCGGCCGGTGTCTTAAACGATGCTAATTACTAAGTTTACCTTGTTTGTTAACTGAAAATTATTATAGATTATATATGTATATATATAATTGATAATATAATATATATAATTTATATTATATAATTTATATTTGTTATTATTATGTTATTTTATTAATTAGTTTCTTCTAATTTTCAAATGCTTGTAAATTTTGTTTACTGATTTTTTTTTCTTCTCACTCATTGCCCGTTAAAAGCAGGCGAGTGCATATTTTATATCATATGTAAACACGATTAGACATGCAGTTATGTACAAGCATTGCAATTAACATGCATATATATTTGTATGTGTGTACGTGCGCACGTATGTGTACGTGTGTGTGTAAGTGTTTGTGAGTTTATATGTATGTGAGTGCATATTTACATACATATAAACTATGAACCAACAAGGCATTAATGATGAACAAGACAAGAACATTACACTCAAAAACGCATATAAATACTTGTGTATGTTTGATTGCTTTTTATGTGTGTATGTATGTATGTGTATATTTGTATGTGTGTATGTACGTGTATATATGTATGTATGTGTGTGTGTGTGTATATATATGTGAATGGGTGTTTGTTAGTAAATATATATGATATGTATATTTTTACCATTTCATGCATTTATATGGTAAGCGCCTGTGTCTTGTGTGTTTGTATGTTTTAGTTTCACTGCACGCATGTTGTTGTACGTATGTTTGTATGTTTGTGTGTTTGTATGTTTCTGTTGTTTTGTGATTATTATTAATTTTGGACAGATTAGATTATCAAGTTATGTCAGGCGGTGTACTCTTTTATTTCTGCTTCGGTTCAGTCGCGGTTGTTTGCTATTCTTCTTAATTTAATGAAATTACTAATGATAATATTAAATATTTAATATTATTATAATTTGTTATTGTTATTATTGTTGTTGTAATCATTGTTGTTGTTGGTTTTTTTTTTCAAATGCTGTTAAACTTTTTCGCTAACGACTACGCTTGCTTGTTGCCATTTGTATCTGGTGATTTTTTTCGTTTTTAACCCTTTTTGCGCTCTTCCATTTAAATGCCGTCGTGTTTCCTCTTTTTATTTTTTATTTTACGAATAACTTTTTATTATTATTGTTGTTATTATTATCATATTATTATTATTATTATTATTTTCAGTTAGGATTTTTTTTGATTATTGTTACAATTACTAATATTATTTATAATAACAAACTATGACAGTATATCACCTCTGTTTTATCGTTAAAATATATGGCTTTTGTGTGGTTAAACATTGAAAGATCGTATTACTGAAAATTTCTGCTACAAACAATGTCAGATCACTTTAACGTGAATTTGAGATTGTAGAATAGTGAATTGTTATTATTTTTATTGTTATTTATTATTATTTATTGTTTATATTATTAGTAGTTATTAAATAGTAAATTTATCGTTATTGTTGTGCTCTGCGATAGCATTGAGTTTTATTTGTTTATAGAAAGCCCGTTTGATCTATTTTGTTTGTTATCTATGGTGACGGTAGTTGTTATAGTAAGGTATGACATCATTCAAACCGCAATAATAATAATAATAAATTGATTTAGGGATGTGATGTTTTGTTTTAGGATGCCTTATTTAAACGTTTTTACGTGTAATCATTATTAAATCGTTCAATGTTTTTTTTAGCATATGGATGGACTGTATTAAAGGCTGACAAAGCCCGTTTGCAATTGTGCTAAATCATCGTAAATGTATTAGAAATTTTATTATATATTTTCTTTGTTTTTATGATTTTAACAAAAAACGAAGATTACTTATGGTTATTATTGTTATATTTTATTAATATTATTATGAAAAATGTTTACGATTATTATTGAGAGTTCCTATTGTGTATAATAACATGATGACGCTTATAATCATGAACCCTGGCCTGTAGATACTGGCACGTTGCTTTTAAATTGGAATCTACTTGGTTCCATGGTTATTTTGTTTAACTAGTTGATTGGTTTGTTAATTAATAAATTGGTCGGTCATTGGTTGGTCAGTTAGTTGATTTATTGGTTGGTCAGTTAGTTGATTAAAAGGAAGTATTTCTTAAAGTGATTGATTAAATGAATGAGCGAGTGAGTGAGTTGAGAATAATTGATGAGAAAATGAACAGACAGTGTCGAATGAAGAAGTGAATGAGAGTGTTTGAGTGAGTAAATTATTGATTGGATGGTTAAATTTTTTTGATTGAATTTGTTTCAATCTCCAAAAGTCCCTTTTTCTGCATACATTCGCTTTTAGTTGTTACGGACGGCTACGTCATCAATGACGTGACTGACAATTCTAGACTTAACTTTCATTGGACTTCGTTTTAATGTTTCATGAAAATTATTTTCTTTAATGTGAATGAGTTGACTTTCAGTAAATAAAAAAATTTCGTTATAAGTTTTGTTATTCCCAGTTCTCGCTATAAAGTAAAGATGTTTCTCATTTAATTGTTTTATCCGCTACTTGAAATTTATAATAAAACTCGTTTACTTAAAAACACAATTTTTTATTTTTGGTGGCTGCATATAGCTGATTGTTTACAATAACGTTCTTAAATGATGGATGAAGTGCTGCATAATTAATCATTATTGTGGCAGTTAGTTCGATAAACTTTCATGTATGTATCCATGCCTAAAAAAATGTTTGTTGCATTTTCTTTTTGATATTTTTGTCAATTTTTTTAAAAAAGTTTGCGAATAAATTTTGTTTTTTTGAGATTAAAGGATGTTAAATTAAATTGTTGTAAAAATTGAATTTTCAGTTGTCCGAGCGATTTTTTAAAACATTTTTCAAGGGGTCCTAATTTTTGAGTTCCTAATTCTCAAACAAATCAGTCAAAATCTAATTTTAATTTATTTCATTTTAGTTTTAACTTTTAGCTTAGTAATTATTAATAAAAATATTAAAATAATCTACTAGAATTTTAACAAGTTTAACTAATCTAATAAAAAGAAATTGCAAGAAATTAGGATTTTCTTATTTCCAGTTTTCATAGTAAGTCAAACTCAAAAAATTTTCTCAAAATGTTTTATTTCATTTGTATTTATTACATTTTTTATTTTTTACTCTACTTTTAATTTTTGTTTTTCAATTAGAATATCAATTTCTTCATGAAAAAAAAGTATGACCACAAACATGTCAAAAAGCAGTGAATTGATGAGCCCATCATACTTGATTGAGTGAATGAATCTCTCAGACATGGCTCTAGGGTGGCAAAAAGATATGTATATAGAGGCACATTATTAATGAATTTAATGTAAAGTAAATGTTCAACGTAATGTCATAATTGAAATGCTATTTTAGCATTAAGTTAAACCTCATTATAAGTAAGATAATTTCATGATATTCCTGTAAGTGTATGGTATGCTATGTTATATATGATATATCCTACGATATTACATATGTATCATCTTAATTATCTTATCATTATTATGTATCTTATCATCAAGATGTATCCTTTTATAATTTTGTATCCATATTTATCAGTCAACATTATTTGATTGTAGCAAATTTAGGCCTGAGACACATAAGAAATGCTATATAGTAAAAGGAATAATTGTTATATAGTTAATTGTAATGTCATAATATAAATAATTATAATTAAATCATTAATAATAATTACTAAATTGTTAATTTTTTAGATACAATGTCCGAGGATGTTTCAGTTACGAAAAGGGTGATTATAAATTTTTACCACCATTAATGTTATTAATTTTTAAGAATAAAATCATCAACTCTTACGAAATAATATTAACAATAAATAGTTATTAATGTTATAATAATAATAATTTTTATATTAATATAATATAGTTATCATATTTGTATGAATAATAAAAATAATATTTTAAAATTATCTTAGATAAAGTTGAGTGTTCTGGATTCAAATGCAAATGAGTTTATGAACATGGGGAAAGAGGAGTTGGTATCTAGGTGGTTATTTAATTTATATTAATGCCATAATTTTATTATAATTATATGTATGGCTAAGTTACAATACATTACATTGCAGTACATGCATTAACCTATTATAAAATAAATTACTTAGATTGATGTCGTTGCAGAGAAAGTTTAATGAACACATCGGCAGCAAGATGGTCTCAAATTGTTTGTAGTTTATTTTTTTTACAAGTTTATTTTCTGATAATGGTACTTCTGTATTGTATTTGTTTGGGTACGTACGTACGTAATGTGTGTGTCTTATAGTTGCTGGTTATAATGTGGGGTTTGCAATCGTGTCGACATGTTCTCATTTACATTTTTTAATTATTATTACCAACTCAACCATCTAGCAGTGGCAGCGGCGACAGCAACAACATCAGCAGCAGCACCAAACACACCATCATCGTTGGCCACGTCATCATCAGCAACATCACCATCGACGTCATTGATGGATAAGTTGAAGCTGCAGGTGATGGAAAGTTCTAAAAACGAAAGCATCCTAGTACTCAGACTGGCTGCTAAGGAACAGGAGAATCAAGAACTTTTGGTTGGTTGGTTGATGTTGTTGTTGATGGTGATGTTGTTGATAACTGGGGTTTATGTATGATGATGATGATATCTGTTATGATTCAGGTGGTAGTGAATATGAGAATTTTCAAATGAGTATAGTAACACTTGAATGGAAAGTGATTATAATTAGATGATTGATCAGTTACTTTCCCTCTCGCTCACAAATCCACCACACGACACAACAGGCTCAGATCCAAGAGATGAAGACCCACACTCCGTCTGCCAGTCACTTGCAGTCCATGTTGTTGGATCCCTCTGTCAACTTGATGTTCATGAGGATGTCCCAAGAGATTGACATGCTCAGGAACAATCTCGAACAAGCTCAAAAGGATCTAGCTGCATGGAAGTTTACTCCTGATAGGTTGGCTGGTTGGTTGGCTGATTGGTTGGCTGATTGGTCGGCTGATTGGTCGGTTGCTTAAGTTGAGTTGATGAATGGAGGAATATGTAGATGAATGGCTGAATAAATTAATGAATAAATGGATGGATGAATGAACAAATGATTTGATCAATTGTAAATTGATTAGATAATTGATTGGGCTTATGAATAAATGAATTGAAAATGTATATAATTTGATTTAAATGATATTCTTGTAACTTTGTTATTATCCTTTATTTCCACATTTGTAATCAGTCAAACTGGGAAGCGACTGATGGCCAAATGTCGAATGTTGATCCAGGAGAACGAGGATCTAGGCAAAACTGTCAGTTCGGGGAAGATAGCAAAATTGGAAGGAGAGATAGCTCTTAATAAGGAACTTATATCTGAAATGAAAAGAACTCATAAGGGTTCGTCTGTTTGTTTGTCTGTCTTTTTATTTGTTTGTTTTTTTGTTTATTTCTATAATTGTGTATTTGTTCTTTTAATTATTTGCATAATTTTGTGTTTGTACATTTGTTTTTTTTGTATGTTCACAATTTAGGTGATGTTGAAATTATGATTCATGTATTGGCGATTTTATTTTGTTAGCTGATGCATGCTGTTGTCTGTGGCATAAATATTTTGCGTATCAGTATATATAAATGTAATGCACGTGTTAAAATGAATGTGTCATGCTGGCTGTTGTTCTATCTCACGAATATTCAAACCAGCTGATGTTGATTTTATCAAAGTGTTGACCTTATTATTTGTACTTTTTTTCATGTTAATCTCACTCAACAACAACATCTTATAACAACAACCCACCAACACCAACGACAGAAACAGAGCAGCTGATGGTGGAGTTGGATGAGGATTTGGAGGGTATGCAGGCGACAGTCTTCAAACAGAGAGTCGAGTTGGAACGTGTCGGACAAGAGTTGGAACTCTACAAAAACAACTGCACATGTGCACTTGTACCCAATGGAAATGACGCCAACACCAATTACCACAACAATGGCGTTAATGTCATTCATAACAAAAACATTTGTAACAACAACGCCTTATGTGCCAACAACATCATAAACGACAACAGCAAAAATTCTACTTGTAAATCGCCCGCTTCTGATGGTGATGATGATGTTTGTATGAATAAAAGGAATAACATTATTAAAAACGATGATGATGATGATGACGATTGTGATGATGATGATGATTGTGTAGATAGTCGTAAATCTCATCATAGGACTAACACTCAGTCGGCTAAACTTTCGAACAGGAAACACAATCACGTGAATGATGCAAACGAAAACGACGATTATGATAATGATGATATGGATGATAGCGAATATGATGATGATGAAGACGTGAAAGACGTCAGGACGAGTGATGCCGGCAGCTCCAGAAGACGATCAGATAAATCGACAAATCTTGAATCCTCCCTAACAGTTAATAATAAAAATAAAATGAAGACCTTATCAACTAAAGATTAATGTGTGTGACGAATGGTGAGACTGTTTTCTTTATGAACTAATCAATCAACTTAACTTTGTTGCTGAAATTTTTAAATGCTTTTCTTTCTTTTTTTAAATAAACGCAATTGAAGTTTATATTTAATGAAAATGATTTCGAATAATTGTAAGAGGTGTGCTTGCCGTTGTATAACGCCCGCCCAGAATTGTGAATGTTATTTAATTTTGATTAGATAGGATTACCTGTCGACGAATCGGTTAAAGTCAGGCCCTTCCTTTAATTATTTTCACATTATGATAGGCTACACGTCAAATCTTAATTCTCCCCTTCTTTCAGTTATTTACAGTTCACTAGATTTGACGTATAGATTTATTGCTATTGATTTCACGCCTAGTAAGATTTGGCTTCTAGTTTTTTTGCACAAACTTAAAGGATTGTATTGAAACAAGTTGATGGTAGCGAATCAGCGACATTACAGCCTTTGTTGCAATAGATACGTTTTTACGATGTATCAATACATATATCTACGAGAAACAGCCACTTAAATTTGTCAACTGTAATAGTTTAGTTGCGTACGATTGAAAAGGAGTTGATTTAATTATTTAATATATAACCTGTCTGTAAACTAGATTGTGCAGATAATGGAAAACGAACACAGTTTTATTATAATTTTTTTAAATCAAGCAGCAGCAAGTTGACCAGTCGCATTATCACTACCACCGCTCTCGCCATTACTTTTAACAACATCCACCTTTCGATCTATAGCCTCCAACTTTGGTTTCACCATAGTTCTTAGTACAGCAACTTGGTGACTGTAGTCGCCAGTTTTCATCCAATCGGGAAATATTTTGCTGTGGACTCTCCACGAGCCATTCTCGTTCACGATGTGTTTCTCAAAGACGACGTATTCAAGCAAGTCTTGAGGAATTGTTTCACTACCGTACGTCAGTCGACCGAACCGATCGTATATGGCTATCATCTGTAGGTACAGGGTGCAGTTTCAATCTTTCAATTACAGTGTCAATCGTTCAAACAACTAATAAAACATACGCCAGCGAAAAAATATACAAAAGCATTTTTTTATTTAAAAAAATTGCTGATCATTGAACTATATTTTTAAAATAGCAAGATAGTGCTATGAAGAGAAACTTATGTAGAAGACTTAACAGAATTAAGAAACAGGCAAGAGACCTGTTTAGTGAGGTATCTGACAGTTATCTGTGCGTATATATTCTCCTTTGACATCATCTCTGTTGTACGAACATGCACAACTCTGGGCGGTTCCAAAGATTCTATAAACGACCAGCGAAACGTCTTCTTCTCTAGTTTCCAAACCATCTCCTGGTAGAATGAAACTTTTCTGGTGAGTAAGTGCATGCAGTGTGCCAATGTTACAAGTATTATCATTCATTATGAGTATCAAACACGATTTGTAAACACCATTGCTAAGCTTTCCATCACCCTATTAAAATCACCACTGCTCAAATATTACCAACACTAACTAACATCCCCCAGTAGCGGTAGAATAACCATTGTCTACTTGTATAAAGACCACAATTCATAACAACAATTATGATATAAACTACACTTAGTACTCTTGCTGTTACTACTACTAACTACTACCACTGCTACTACTACTACTACTACTACTACTACTACTACTACTAACAGGATAAGCCTTTTCAGAGACAAGTTCATGTAAGCGAGCTTCATTGTCCTTGACACTACAGTCAACATTTTAATATTTTAATTAGTATTAATACAAATATAATGAATAAATTATAATAAATAAAAAATAAACAGATAAATAATTCACAAATTCACTGATCAACAGATAAGTAGCAATCTATGTTACATACTTTTCCAATAGTTTCATAGCTTCTTTGTAGATATCAAGAGACTTCTCGGCAAAAACTTTTATGTCAAAGTTCTCCTCGTAGGGTTTGATCTTCCTAAGTTGGAGGAATGACTTGCCCTTCATCTCTAGTTCTGTTAATCTTTGTTTGGCACCCTTCCAATCAAAATTTAGTTCTTTGTTATGGTGTATAAAATATTTACACAGTTTAACTTTGTTATAATGTCATAAACACTTACTTTCTAAAAAATGCAACACATGCAAACATGCCATTTTGAAAAGTTTATTCAAGTTTATTACAATATAAACTTATGATATTTCAAACAAGCCCATCAAATTATTAATAATGCACTAGGCATGTGATAATACAATGTACAACTTATCTGGATAATTTGACTTAAATAGATTGAAACTTGACCATAAATAAGTTTTAAATGAATGAATAAATAAATGAATGAGTGAGTATGAATGAATGGAATGAAATTTATTGATGATTGAATGAAAGATTTTCATGAAAACCTTTCCTGAAAGTCTAGAGGCCAGACCATCACCCTCAGGTGGAACATATGGCTCAAAAACACTTCCTATTTTCAAGTAATTTTTAAAAATATTAAAAAAAATTATTATAGGATATTATTAAAAATAATATTACAAAATATTGATTAAAAGTTTTATAAATACAAAAATTTTGAAAAAAATCTATAATTTGTGATTACATTATAATATTATATAATCTTTTAATTTAATCATGTAAAACTAAAAAGAACCTGTGCTAGCAATAATGATAGGTCTTTCTTGAAAACGTCTAGGAGGTGTCATGCCTTCTTTCTTCATTTTTGATCGAAACTCACTGGGGTCCATCATGGATTCACGTCTAAGTTTGTCATAATCAGGAAGGTCCATCTTTTAATTTAATGTGTTGGTGGGATAGTTGAATGAACAATCCACAATTAAAAAGTTCAATAGATCTACTAACTAAATTGCAAATGGGCATTTTGAAAAACATTCACTCTCTGATTTCTAACCAAAAAAAAACTTACCTTCATAACTTTTTCAGCCCTCAACTTCCTCCATTTTATATCCCAGTGCTTATGCCTCAAACAAAAAAAAGACCCAGCAGCAAAGACCTGTCAATCAATCAATCATAAAAATTAAAAAATAAAATTAATTGAAAATTTATATAAAATTAAATTTTATTAAAATTAGTTTGTTTTATTTTATAACCTGTAACGCTTCGTTGCAGTATAGTTTAGTTTTAGCAATGACTTTTAACATTTTTATTCAGAAATGTGTTGATTTTAAAATTAAGTTAATACGACGCATTTGTTTGAACTCTATGGAAAGCTGACGGTAAACAACATTTAAAACTATCTGATTTAATATGTAATACACAAATGATACATATATGCACATATAATTAGAATGCATATAAGTATACAAATTTTTTATATTCTAATACCTGTTGTTTCAAACTTTATACATTAATAATAAATTCAGTTGATAAGTGAATAAATAAATCTAAAAAGAAAGACTCTTGGAAATTGGTTGCAGTAAAAATTAAATTATTATTCATAATTATACAAAATAAACTTTATTTATCGCTAAAATAAAATCTAATAACATCAATAAAAATTATTTTTTTCATTAATTTTTTAATAATATGTTTCAGAAAACACCACAATTTTATATGCATTTTATAAAAATACTAAGTTCACCCGTCTTTAGCTAGCTTACTCTCAGGAGTTACTTTCGTCATGTTTTAGACAGTCGACGTTAGCGATTGAATGAACCATAAAATTTCGAGTGTTACTATCGTTGTTGTCATCGTTATTGTCATCGTTGTTGTCACCACTATTTTTTAAATAGAATCTAACTTCATCTTTTTCTACAGAAAACGGCATGTCGCACAACTGATGCTAAAAACTGAACTCGCCGATTACACGAGATTTTGTCATACCCGCCATGCCATATTTCTCCAGTTCCATTCTTCAAACATTACAATAACTGTTTACGAGAACACTGCCTTAAATATAAAAATGCCAAAAAAATTCCATCAGCCACCTAAAATTCCATCTTGAATCTCAATCATCAGAGTCCACGATTGCCTTAAAGATGTTTTCTCATATATTTATTCAGTTAAATAAATAAACCAATAAGCGTAAATTGCAATGGTTTTTTATGTTACATTTAATACTTGGTATATGTTATTTAATAGGAGCCGTTGCTTAAGTCGAAATTTTTTCTCAAAGATGAATGCATACAATTGCAAAACAAACGTACGAATCAGTGAAAATACATTAATAGAGGTGGTGCATAACAAATCTTTTTACTAGAAATATTTACTCCAAGCTTCTGCTGCTGTCTCGATGTTTTGAACATGGTTTGAGTTAAGTAGAAGGAAATATGTTTGTTTGTGTGTGTGTGTGTGTGCGCGCGCGCGCGCGTGTGTGTTTATTTTATGATTTTTTTTCTGTGCGTGAGTGTAATGTTTTGAAACGTTGTCGATTTTGTGTTCTGTTTTCAGAATGTTAGATTTTAATTTGTGTTTCAACAAAATTTTTTACCATATTGTATAAACGAGTAATTTGAGTTGCAGATTGGAACGTTGATATCAAAATATTGTTATACATCTGCTTTGTTGATTAACTCGTTTGTTCATTTGTCATGAATAAGGAATCCATGTTTAGATAGACGATCAAACAAACAGAGACAGACAGACAGAGACAGACAGAGACAGACAGACAGACAGACAGACAGATAGATAGAGACAGACTGAAAAACAGACAAACTGACCATCAGACACACCTTCAAACATATTAGTAAAAAGCATTTGAAAAACCTTAGTCAGTATTCTAACTGTTCCATTACATCCCCGAACGATAACTACAAGTAGCAAATTTATTTCTATTTTTAGCTTCTTATTTACACTGATTTTTATTTATTTTTACAATATCATTTTATAGAGTATATAATATTTTTTAATTTTCAACCTGAGATAAAAGCATAAACGCTATCACGTTTACATAAAAAAGTAAAGGCACCTACACACCCACACGTGCGCGCACAAGCGCGCACACACGTACGTATACACACCACACACACCCACACACGCGTGTTTACGCACGTACATATAGATAAAAATTTACGAACGCAAGCAAGCATTACAGAGACACATGAACAGACGAACATAGAGACATACACACACAGACAAACAAACATGTACACACAATCAGACCCTTACAGACAACCAAACCATCCTATTACTCACTCTACTCAACCTCCATAATCCATCAAACAGTCAAACAAGAGTATTTGTGTGTGCGTTTGTGTTTGTGTGTTTGCCTGAGTGTAAGTGTGTTTGCTTATACATGGCTCGGTAGAGATTCATGATTACACACATTTACACACAAACACACAGACACACACACACGCACAGACACAAAATGCATACATTTTAACAACGTTCCAGCTTCGACGACACCAAGTCTATAAATAGAAAATTTCTACAGAACAGTTTTATTTATTACAAAGTTAAAAAATTATTCCGAAAAATATTTAGAAACTAGAAACACATGTGATGTCGTACGCACACACACACTTACATACACATACGCACACCTACCTAAAATTTTTGTAGATATATACAGACACACATAAACATACAGGAAAACCATTGCACACATAAACGTACATTAAAAACATACACATGCGAACGGTAAACGAAAAAGCAAATATCCATATGAAGCAATGCGAAAAGTATGCACGAAGTTATAAGCAATGAAATGAAAGTTCGACGACGATGATGAAGATGATGACGAAAATGATGACGATGATGAAGATGATGACGAAGATGATGAAGATGATGACGATGACGAAGATGATGACGATGATGAAGATGATGACGATGATGACGATGATGAAGATGATGGAGATGATGACGAAGATGATGAAGATGATGACGATGATGACGATGAAATGATAATATTGGTCATGATTTTGGTAGTAATTAAAATCTTGAAGTATAATGATGATACTAATGATGAAGACGATGACGACGATGATGACGGATATGATGATGATGATGAGAAGGAGAGAATGGTGAAGAAGCAGGAGAAAAAGATGATGATGATGATGATGAGGAGGAGGAGGAGGAGGAGGAGGAGGAAGATGAAGTTATTTGTATAACTTTCAAGATAGGCAGTTGTTGATCTTATATCAGTTGCTGACTACTGTTCGGTTAGGAACGCTAATGTTTTTTCCTTCGAATATTTAAATTATTTATTTAATTAATTAATTGGTTAATTAATTATTTTAATTTCTAATTAATTAATTAATTAAATTCCTAATAATTTTATATAAGTGGGTTTAATTTTATATTTTTCATAAAAAAAATTAGTTTAATGTTCCTTAAAGTTAATAAATATAAGGATAAATCAAACTGAATGAATGAATGAACGAATGAACGAATAAATGAATAAATTGATTAATTGATTGAATGAAGACAAATCAAAAAAATTCCAAATCTGAATGTTAAATATTTTTTAAAAAAACAAAATTAAACCTTCACAGCTCGGCGTTCATCAAGAAACAGTTGAAAGCACTTTCTCCATAAACCACCATAATTTTATAATTATAATTAATCATTTTAATTATAATTAAATAATAAAAATAATTATAGCAATAATAATTCATAATATAAATTATATTGGATATCGCTCGGAGATTATTTTGACTTTTTTGTGATACCTCTACAACGATACAAGTGAGAGTTAAACTCAGTGTTTCGATTTTAAGTTATAAATTACTACTACTCTGCTAATACTGCTGCTGCTGCTACTACTACAGCAACAACAACTACTACTACTACTACAACTACTACTAGTAATAATCATAATAATGATGATAATAGTAATGATAATGATGACAATCTAAATAACTTTTTAAAAGTATTGCTTATTATTATTATTATTCAAAACTTTTTGAAAATATTGTTTCATTTTAGCTCCCTGACTAAATACCAGTTAAATCTTCTCTTTAGAACATATTACACTGTCGTTTTGCGATTTTAATTAGTATTTAACGATACATTTCAATGGTGCTCAGAATACTAAATTAATTACTGTTAGCAATTACCTTTTAAAAAATTTTCCCACTTTTAGCTAAAAAAAATTAAATTAGATTAAGTTAAATTAGTAATCACCATCAAGTTTAATACTAGCTTACTATAAATGTACAATGAATAGCGTTATTTACATACATTGTAGCGTGGGATCGAGTTATATTACTTAGGTGACCAAAAATAATTAAACTGAAGTTAAAAAAACTGAAAAATATGAATATAATATAAATATAAACTAGCATCAACAAAAAGAACTTCAAAAACCAACATTAGAAATGGCGAACGCTGCTTTCAACACGATGAACGCGATTAAGAAGAAGGTGCACACGATGAAGACTTTGAAGGATTCCGCCGGTGACGAAGTGGAGCTCCTGGAACAGAAACTGCTCGAGTACAAAGCCATTGGAGAGAAGGTTAATTGAAACATTTCCACTGAAGGATTCAATAAATTATATGAATGATTCTTTCATTGAAAAATATGTCACCTGTTTGGCCGTTTTGTTGTTTATCTAGTTTTTTTTAAGCAATTTAGTGATTTAAATCATCATTTGTTTGGTTGATTGTTTAATTAGTTAGATGCTCATTTATTACTTATACATGTCGAATGTAGCAAATAAATAAATTTTAAATAATAAATAATTAAATAAATAATAAATAAATAAATACAATTTTGACAGAACGAAGAGGAGTTGATGAATTTGAACAAGAGAATCTTCCAGATACAGAACGACCAGGGTATCACCCAGCAGCAACTCTCTGATGCTTTGGAAAAGTACAACACCATCAACAAAAATTTGTCACAAGTTGGTCAAATGGTTGATTGATTAGAATAGCCTTAGATAGTCCTAGGCAGGTAGGTAGTGGTGAATCGTTCATCATCCGATCCTTAACTGTTGTGATATCCGCTTGTGTTTTTGAGTAGTTGTACGTTATCGATAATGAAAAGTTAAGTATCAAAAAAGTTATCCCGATAGTTCGTTGTTGATATCTCTGAATTATGTCGTAACATGTGTTAATTCATCATTTTTATTAATCAGTTGAATGACAAATGTATGCCAACAAACACGCGAGCAGGCTGAAGCGGAGATGTTGAACCTGAGCAAGCGTGTGAGAAGCATCGAGGAAGAGTACGAAACGGTTGAGAACAAGTTGATTCAGACGACGACAAAGTGGGAGCAGGCGAGCAAGGCCTTTGAAGAAAGTCAGAGGTCAGTGGGACGATGATGAAAACTTTATAAAAAATTCAATTGCCAACAATGCACTTATTCAAATCAAATATCAATTAAACACAAACACGACGCCATAATTTTATTTCTCAAACATCAAACTTATTGAACGAATACTGAAAAAACGATGAACGTGACAGAGGAATCAAAGTGTTGGAGGCTCGCATCTACACTGACGAGGAAAGGATTGCTCAGATTGAAACTGAACTGGAAGTCATCATTCTTTTCGGTGAGGATGCCGACAGGAAATATGAAGAGGTTAGTCTCCAGGGGATATATTTCAGATGTGAGTGAGTGCTTCTGTGGTGGCTCAGTAGTTAGAGTACCGAGATTTGCGGTGCTCTGAACTAGTTCATTTGCAAAGTGTTTTGCATTTACAATAAACTTCAAAATTACAGAGTTTTTCCGATTCGTGTAGGTCTAGAATTTGAAAATTGTTAAAAGCAAACAAACATGTGAAACAAACATATAGAATAACATACAAATACAAAATGGCATACAAAACAAACAAAACAAAAACAGACGGCCCGCAAACTTGCCATTACAGAGGTGGATCTGAGCAGATCAGAATCGAGAGTTCAAATCGCTGAAGCGTACGTTCTTCAAATACTGCAAATACTAACGTTTCATTTGTTTAACTATTGTTTAAGTATTTGCAGGAATTCTAAACAGTTTAATTATTTATTTCATAGGTGTCATAATGATTATTTAATATCAAATATTTAAAGGATTGTACAAAATTTTTGTTGAATAATTAACCATTCGAACGAACTTTCGTTCTAGCTTGTGTTTCTGTTTGCATATTTGTATGTTTGCATATTAGTATGTTTGTGTGTTTGTGTATTTTGTATATTTGTGTGTTTGTATATTTTGTATGTTTCTTGTGTTTGTATATTTTGTATGTTCACAAATTGAAAGTCGTGGCATGGAGCTGGAGGAGGAATATAAAGTAGTCAGCAATAACATGAAATCATTGGAGATCTTCCAAATTGAGGTCATAATTTTAATTATAATTAATAATTATAATGATAATAAAATAACAGTAATAATAACATAAATAATAATAATAAATTTATAAACCCCTCTCACTCCAAACAAGGCCCAAGCTCGTTTCGAGAACTATGAGATGATTGTCACCAGTCTGACCCATCAGTTACAAGAGGTTCGTTGGCTTACTGGCTTGCTGATTGATTGATCGATGGATTGGTTTCACTGGTTTGCTGATTGGTTGATTGCTTGATCACTCAACCAATCAAATGACTGATTGATTGATTACTTGAAAAGTTAACCTAATGATTGATAGGTGTGTTAGTTGATTAAATGGTTTAACTAGTTGAATGGCTAATTAGGGCGGTTAAATGATTGCTTGAATTTACGATTGGTTTGTTGGCTGATCGATTTGTCAAATAATAGATTGACCCTGAGAGATAATGAAGGTTAAGCTTCATCGCGAAATTTTAACTAGATGTATTACTGAAATTAAATCAAAACTTTAATAATCTTGAAATTGAACGACCAACAACAACAGACAGAGTCAAGAGCAGCCAGTGCCGAAAGAATGGTGACTTTCTTGCAAAAGGAAATAGACAAGATAGAAGGTCCGATAACCTTTTTTACCTATAACTATCTTGTTTCTTATTTTTATTACTTGATTTTTATTAAATATTATTTTAATTATTAAAAATTAGATAAAACTCTAGATTATTTTTTAAAAATTTGATCAAGAAAAAATTTATAAACAGCATCACTTTAACTATATCCACGCTATTGTATTTTCCACCATTAACATAGTCTCCAACACCACAATTATTATCAATGACATTATCACATCGTGGTCGTCGTCATCATCATCATCACTGCATTATCATCATCATCATCATCACCGCATCATCATCATCACATCATCGTCGTCATCATCATCGTCACATCTGCAGACGAGTTAGCAGCGGAGAAGGACAAGTTCCGTCTGGTTGCCAACGAACTCGATTTCACATTCACCGAGCTGACGGCCTTCTAAGTTCACTTTTCATCAAGACAACAAAATTAGCGGGAAATTTTAAAATTATATTGGCGGGAAGATTTAAAATTTTAAAAGTTACATAGACGGGAAAAATGTAAAAGATTAAAAATATTGGAAGATCATCCGATTGTGGAAATGATTTCTTTTAAGACTTTTTAATTAAATTTTCTCAGCAAAAAATATGTTTAAAGTTTGTTTTCTGTTGAAAGTTTAACACGTTTAATACTCGAAATCAAATTGGAAATGAGGTTATGTCGCAATAAGGTTGATGAGAAATAATAGTAACATTAATGATAATGTGGTCATATCAATTCTTAATTATAATGATGAAGGTCACGATAAAGACAAACAAAGATAGGAACAACTAAATGATATCAATGATAGCAAATGTTAAAGCAAGTTTATTATCAATAATGATGAGTATAAGATAATGATAGTGGGTAGGATACTGGATAGAAATTACAATTATGGCGATAATGTGATGATTGTGATAACGATGATGATAATAATTATGATTATGAAGATGATTATTGCGATCATGATGATGATTGATGAAGAGATTTTTGTGGAAGAGATACCCCCGCCTACTTCCACGACACTCCAACTTCACCGTCTTGAATAATTATTCTCATGAATATAATATAATTATTAATTATTATCATAATTATATTTCATAATTTCTGTTTCATCATTGTTTAATTGCTACAGTGAGTATTGTTAATGTTATTTAATTTTGGTTACAATCATGTCTATTGTTTATGACATTGATACCATTAATTTCAATTATTTTTCGAAAGTTTCAGTCGGCAGACAATGGGTTTTGCAGAAAAATATACATATTTTCAATACGATTTGTGGATTTTTAAAATGGTAAAACTAAACAAAAACTCAAAAAAGCCTAAATTAATAGTTTTCATTAACATAATTAACATCGTTCATCGTCTATTTTACTATCATCCTACCAACCACACCAACAAACATCATAAAATCAGTCAGTCATACTATCTAAATACCTCTCTAACCTGTAAACATTTTTGGCTCGTGCACCAGATGGCAGACGTTGTATTACAACAAAGCCCTCTCCGAGATGTTTGGAGTGACAATTTTGTGTCTTTTTATACGGGTGGCACGCCCTATTCATCCCCTCCGTCTTGATATCGTGAATTAAAATGTTGGTAGGTGAGCAGATGGATAAATCCCAGTATGATAAATAAACATGGGTTACGTATCATTGTTAGTTAGAGTAAGTCAACAAGAATTTTCCCTTCATTTTAATTTTGATGGATGCATTGGATGCATGCAAATAATCTGCAACAGTTGTTTTTAAGAGTTTGAAGGAAAAAAATTTATTTAAAAGAAAAGAATAAGAAATTAACATAGAACAATCATTTTTTCACAAATACAGATACATATATATATATATATACATATATATATATATATACATATATATATACATATATATATACCTATATATATATTGTGATACACACATATATATATATACATATGAATGTTTATATATATATATATATATATATATATATATATATATTTTTTTAATCAATCAATTAATTGGTTTTTTACCAGGTTACATACATACATACATACATATACAAGTTTGTATTTTATACTCTTATAGACACACAAACATGTTTGTATATTACATAGACAGAGGTATACATACGTAAGTATATTATACGCATATACGCCAGTGTGTGTGTGTGTGTGTGTGTGTGTGTGTGTGTGTGTGTGTGTGTGTGTGTGTGTGTGTGTGTGTGTGTGTGTGTGTGTGTGTGCATAAGCGAGGTTCTGCGGAGAGAAAATAAGCAAGGAGTAAGATTTTGTCACGCGCGTCCTTTGGTTCAGTTTGTAATAGAGTGAAGTAACCGTACCGTACTGTACTATAATGTACTGTATCGTACAACGTATTGTACTGGCACCTACGTATTTTATTGTGTTGTACTGCTCTGTACTTAGGCGTATTTATGTAGCTGATGGTTTTCTGAAAAATTGAATTTATGTAAAGTTTATTCGTTATCAATAAAAATTTCGAGTTGTTAAATTTTTTTTATTTAGCGTTATAGATGGAAGATAATTTTATGTGACAAATTGTTTCTTAATATTAACTTGATTTTTAAAAATAGAATTTTCCGGAAAACTGTTCATAACTAACTGTTAGTTATTTTCATAAATAATTTTGAATTAATTTATTATATAACTTATTGTTTTAATTTGTCAGATTTCTAAACGTTTGTTCGTTTGTTTATGTTTTTTTATTCATTTTTTGGCGTGTACTAATGTATTTTCTATTGATTTAACCATGAATTAATGCGTTTTTTTTATTTAATTTATTTTTTTCTTCCGTTATCTATCTACCCGTTAATTTTTCTTATTTCCTAATTTTCATTTATTCTTTTACTCGTTTATTTCAACTTTCATTCCAGAATTATTCACTCATTCATTCACTCATTTCATCATCGTTCATTCATTCATTCATTCATTCATTCATTCATTCATTCATTCATTCATTCATTCATTCATTCATTCATTCACTCACTCATTCATTCATTCATTCATTCACTCACTCTCTCGAACGAAAGAGTCTTCCGTCCTATTGTACGTACGTATTTGGACATAAAAATATCTTCTCTTCTTGTTATCGTCGAGTTCGTTGTTTATTTGATGATGTTTGCTGTCCGTTCATTCATTCACTTATTCATTCATCCATTCATTCATTCATCCACTCATTCATTCATTCACTCATTCATTCATCCACTCGTTCATTCATTGACTCATTCAGTTATTCATTCAGTTATTCATTCACTCGCTCATACACGTGTCGATGTTCACGATTACTTAGACGATGACAACAGTATTTCTTACGGCCAAGTAAAAAAGTAGCTGTAGTATCAGTGGCAGCTGTAGTAATATTGTTAGCAACAGTAGCAGAAGTAGCAGCAGTAGCAGCAGTAGCATTGGAAGTAGTCAAAATAGTAGTAGTAGTAGTAGCTGAACGTTAGAAGCAGAAGCAATATTGGATGTTATAAAAGTAGTTGTAGCTGTAGTGAAAAAAAAGGAATAGTAGATTGTGCAGTATTGCCTTCGATTATCTACTCCTTCATTGCTCCCTCCGCTCTTTATTTATTCATCAGTTCGTCCATCCATCCATCAATCCATCCGTCCATCCATTAATTCACCAATTTATTCATTAATTTTTCGATTATTTTTGTGTTTTTTTCAAATTATTCCTTAATTTATTTAATTTTTCAATTTTTTTTTCAATTTGTTTTTAATTTGTTCAATTTTTCAATGTGTCGCGTTAGTTTTTTTTCACAGTTTTGTTTCTCATTTTATTTGGCTTTTGTTTACTGTTACGTTAGTTGTTTGGCTTGTACTACTCTTGCTATTGTTGTTGTAATTGCTGCTGTTGTTAATGTATTTTAATGTTATTTTCAATGTTGTTGTCGTTGTTGCTGTTACTGTTGTTGTTGATGATGGTGGTGTTGTTGCTGCTGCTGTTGTTATTGTGGCTGATGTTATTGTTGCTGTTGTGGTTGCTGTTGTTGTAGTAGTTGTTGTGGCTATTGTTGTTGTTGCTGTTGTAGTTGTTGTTTTTCTCCCCAAGCAATCATTCATTAATTTAAGTAGAGGCATTAAGTTTCGTTCTCAATCAAGCCAGCCATTCATCAACCGTCACGCTGATGGTTAACATTTAGATTGGATCCAACAACAACATCATCAACAACAATAGTAGCAATAATAACCATAACAGTAACAACAACAACAACAACAACGGTGCTTACACTAACAACAATAACATCAACATTCAAATTAAACACAATGGAGGTAACGACAACGTTGAAGTAAAATGCGACAACAACAACAACAGCAATGCTAACTACAAGAACAATTAATTATAATAATGTTAAATGAAATAATAATATAATAAAAATAATTATAACTTATATGAAAAAAAACTTATATAAAAACTGGTGACTGATAAATTAATGCCACTGATAAGATAACACAGCAAAGAAACAAGAAAAGGGGAAGCTTTTAAATCGAACAATACAAAAACAAAACTTCGAACCAACAAATTGAAATGGTGCGCCGCATAAATTAGAAAATTTTCAGTTCACTTTTAATCAAGACTAGTGTAGAGGCCACGTGACTGAAGTACTAATTTGTTTATGCTGGGCACTGAGTGTGATGTCCGACGTGTTTTCGGTATTTGGGGTATTCGAAATTTGTGTGTGTGTTTGTGTGTTTGTATGTGTGTGTTTGTATGTGTGTGTTTGTATGTGTGTGTTTGTATGTGTG